AAAAACAATTAAAATAGCATTCACATAATAGTCAAAACAATTAAAACAGCATTCACTTAATAGTCAAAACAATTAAATAAAAACGGCATTCACTTAATAGTCAAAACAATTAAATAAAAACAGTATTCATTTAATGGTTAAAACAATTAAATAAAAACAGCATTCATTTAATAGTCAAAACAATTAAATAAAAACAGAATTCACTTAATAGTCAAAACAATTGAATAAAAACAGCATTCACTTAATGGTCAAAACAATTAAATAAAAACAGCATTCACTAATAGTCGAAACAATTAAAACAGCATTCACTTAATAGTCAAAACAATTAAAATAGCATTCACTTAATAGTCAAAACAATTAAAACAGCATTCGATTAATAGTCAAAACAATTAAAATAGCATTCACTTAATAGTCAAAACAATTAAAACAGCATTCACTTAATAGTCAAAACAATTAAATAAAAACAGCATTCACTTAATAGTCAAAACAATTAAATAAAAACGGCATTCACTTAATAGTCAAAACAATTAAATAAAAACAGCATTCATTTAATAGTCAAAACAATTAAATAAAAACAGAATTTACTTAATAGTCAAAACAATTGAATAAAAACAGCATTCACTTAATGGTCAAAACAATTAAATAAAAACAGCATTCATTTAATAGTCAAAACAATTAAATAAAAACAGAATTTACTTAATAGTCAAAACAATTGAATAAAAACAGCATTCACTTAATGGTCAAAACAATTAAATAAAAACAGCATTCACTAATAGTCGAAACAATTATAACAGCATTCACTTAATAGTCAAAACAATTAAAATAGCATTCACTTAATAGTCAAAACAATTAAAACAGCATTCGATTAATAGTCAAAACAATTAAAACAGCATTCACTCAATAGTCAAAACAAAACAACAGAATCCACTTAAAATGGTTACACATTATACAAATTAAAATTATTAGATTAACCTCCAGTTGCCAAAATCGTCGAGGTGAAACCGCTTGAGCATATGCGATTCAGGCGTTGTATGTTTTATGCTTTACACACACCTCCCAGATACGAAATATTGGTAAGGCTGTTAAGTATGTAATTTAATAATTGTAATTCAAAAGTATACTGAAGACGGTCTTACTGGTCTTGCTGTCGAACTATTGTGTATCTATGTTCCCGATTTCTACTTACTATTAATAAATTGGCAAGGGAATAAATTACTAGTATTTACAGCTTTGCATAGGCACTACCGATACTGGTCGTCATTTCAAGTTCCGAAAATATTTTTGTTATAATTTACAATAAAACTTACTGTATTTAATTTAATATTTTGGTAAAATAATTTGGAAATTCTCATATTGGACTTGATGCTTAAAGTACCAGGATGTGTGACCGTTCGAGGTCGTGTGGGAGGCATGTCAGAATTGACTACAAAATGGCTGACTTAGTTGTGACGGGGAGTAAGTCATGTCAATGATTGTTGTTTCATTAGTTCTGGTACCAACTGAACTGAAAATATATGTAGCTAATCAAAAATTCATTTTACAGTATTTTGCATAATATTATCATAATTGATTACAATAAATTATATTCGTACAACCAATGAATAATATGATTCGCGGATGTGTCGCCATGGTTATTATCAGAAGTTATCAGGTCAGGTGCAAAGCGCATCACAGCAATTACTAAATACCCATTGTGTGCGTTTCGACCGAAGAAGTCGAATCAACGAGACGATTTTCAATATAGATAACAATAAAAAGCTATTATTCCTCTGAGATGGGACGATAAGAAAGGGTGTCTGACCTCTGTACAATGAGGTCGAATCGGGACGCAGTAATTGGCCTCTATCTGAACTCTTCCGCCAATTTGTCAGAAAAAAACCTGCTTTCATGCCATGATCGAACAATTCGTTTGGACGGGATGCTTTCTCTGGTGTTTTATATATAGTTCTTTAGAATCGAAGAATAATGGTAATTTACATGACAGTGCAGAGCCGGCGGCACGAAATTTTGCACGGAGGGGCGACATATGCTCATCATCCCTCACGGCGAAGGCGCGAGCTTACCATGGTGTGATCCAGGGGCTTACAGCTTAAAATTTCGAAATCTAGACCCTCTAAAACGTTATTTCCTTCATTTTGAGGGACAAATTGTTCTGACACAAAGGGTTTCAGCCTCAAGTTGATTTTTCGAGGGGGCAACGCTTCTCCGCATTTTTTTTCGAGGGGGCGATTGCCGCCTCTGACACCTCCTCTGTGCCGCCTCCACCGTGACTGCAGTATTTGATGAGATGAATGTCACGAAACAGTCAAAAAGCTGGACGGGACCCGGCTCCGTCAACTGAGTCTGTCACTGAGTCTGTCACGTGATGTTTTTTGTACAGTGGATTGATATTTTAGATAGACTTATAGCTCATCCAACCCAGTGTTTTTTGTATAAGACAATTCACATTTGATTTTCTGGTGTTTAAAACAGTATTTAAAGGGCGGTGGTTGTCACGCAGCGCGTGATCGGATTTCACGTATTTTACACGCGTTGTGTACGTCACTGACCTTAATAATGTGTACTACAAATGTATTTATTTGTTATGCAATACTATCAAGACGATGAAGAAATATGCAATGAACCGGGTATTGTTGAGAATAATTGTTGGAGAGTTATACATTCATTATACATATAAT